TTATTAATGTTGATGAATCAGCAATTAATGTAATTGTTGAATCATCAGAAAATGGATGTTGTACTGAATCAGCTGTTGTCGGTGTACATGGAATTATTTTTGAAGAAAGTTCACGTGGAATAGATGAAGCTGGAAAAAAATTATTCAATATGGTATTTATTCTATTTAGTTTCTTAGAAAAATTATGTCTAGGAGACAAGAAGCCATGCTTATTATCATGCATAAAGATGTTTTTTTTTCACAAGACCAGAAAACAACAAAAAATAAAAAATATATCAAAGAGCATTTATAAGACTTTCATATATATATATATATTTATCTTCATGCAGTCAACATAATTTTAATGTTGGTGGATGTTTTTTTAATTCTTTTGTTTTTTTTTGTTTTACCCATTCTTGACTTACGACAAGATATCACAAAAGCTTTTTTTTTGTTTATACTCTGTATGACATTTATGTTTGATAGAGGATGTTGGTAATGATGCTGTAGATGATGTTAGTATTGAAAAGCAACAGCAAACAAGAGATAGCATTTTTTCGAACATTATCTTCTTCTGTTCAAAGAATAGATAAATGAAAAGAATTTTTGATGATTTTTTTTCTAATTGTTATCCAAGTATATGTAACTAGTTGTATATTTCTTTTTTCTTTCAAAGATATATGATAGAGAGCAAACTAACAGTAGGCAACACAGAAAAATATGACTAATAGAGGAGAATACATATAAGACGATGAATATATAATCAAATCACGCTGATGTGAAAGCATAGAAAAATACTAATGACTGGTGAAACATATAAATAACGCCACGTTTGAATCATCACTATCACCAGGTTTTGACAAATTAGTGATAACGATAGGAAAAACAAACAGAAAAAAAAAGAAATGACTATGAATTTATTGACAAATACAAATGACTACTGCATAAAGTATACATTACAGCTTTTTTTTAAAGTTTTTTTTGTCGATGAGAAAAAAAGAAAAATGAGAGAGAATATAAAAATGAATATATAAGAGAG